CTTTTAACTTTATAAAATTTGGCTACTAGAACATTTACAGTTACATATATGACTTGCATTTGTAGGTCACATTACATTTCTGTTAGACAGAGCTGGTCTACACAGTCACATTTAGGAAGGTCAGAAAGGCCAGGTCCCCCCATCTTAGGCAACCCAGAGTAGCCTGCTGGGCTCAGAAAAGAAGGATCCTGGGATACAATTCTCTCATGCATTCCCTGCAGTTTTGTGTCCCTTGACCTCCCCTTTTAAGGATGTATATTTTGGTTAGAGAAGTCATTCTTCTAACAGGGAAGGGTTGACTTTCAGGAATAGGTGCACATGAGTTGGGGGAAGGTGGATGGAGAACATTGAGGTGCTACAGCAATGACTTACTATTGAAGAATAGCAAACTAATTATCACATTACAATTCTCTCTTCCTATCAGGGTGGGTAATTAGCTTCCTTGGGGGCTCCTTAAAAAAAAGAGAGAAAGAAAAGATTCCTTCCCAGCAACTAGCTATTTTGTTCTTTTAATTCAATTCAATTCAATTGGGGGCAAAGCTACTTAAAGGAAAAATTAACACATTAATGGCTGAAATGGAAACAGAGACACATTAGAAATGTCTTCCTTTAGTTCTGAAGCCAGGCTTGTCTTTGCCCATCAAAATGGTAAGTCCTGGGTTAACCAAAATGTGGCACTGCACGAGCTTTCCTCGTATATCCCACACGAGCCTCCTGAGCTCAGATTTTATCTGCTTACCACTGTTTTTTGGCCTGCTTTAAAGACAGACGTGGTTAACATGACTTGGATTCTAAGAGTCCATCAGTTCTGCTCAATGAGAATGAGCTTACAGGAATATTACATGGACAACCAAATCCTTCCTTAACTCAGGTTTAGGGCTGAGCAACAGACATTCCATTTGGGATGTCAAACTCAATATTGGCAGGAGTGAGGATTGAACTTGAAGAGAATAAAGTAGAAGGATTTTGATTTATTCATGAGGCAGAACAGAAAAGAGATAACTTAAGAACTAAGGACTAGGAAATCAAATTATGACACAAATTACAGACTAAATAGCATCAATTTACTAAACCTCAAGTCAAACTGAACCCATATATTAACTGAACCATGAATTGGACCAAATATATATATTTTAAAATCTCGCAAAGTTGTTCAAACTAGAATCAAACCTATATATTTTCTAATGAACTAGAACATCAAAACATTCCTTGAATTGAACCTTAACTGAGCCAACGTTTCATTTGGTTTGAGTCCCTGCTAAAGAGAAACATTTTGTGTTGGCTTTCTTTTGCTTTCAAAGGAAGGCAGTTCGTATTCCCTGGAAATGTCCTATCTTCTACAACCTTTAGTTACTCAAGTTGAATGAAGGTGTGTGAATCCATACACAAGTTCCAGACCCAAGACAGACTGACACAGGATGGAAATAGGGTGATACAACTATGCCTTAGAAAAGAACAAAGAATTTCAGCCCCACCCAGCACCATTATTTTTTAGTTAAATGTAAATTGACTTGCATATGTCCCTTGCTAACAGCTCAGAAAAATCTCAACATTTTATGAAACAATTCTTTTTTCCTTAAATCTCAAACGTTTATGAGGAGAAATTCATGCAAACTGAAAACTAGGTATTGTCTATAGCTCATTGTTCTGGTTATCTGATTCTGATTCTGTGGAGCCATTTTACAACTTTGTTAAATTGTAAATAACTGATAACAAAGGAAAATTATTCTTATCTCTAGACATGCAAATTCTGTCTTATCTAAAGAGGGTAACAAATTGTAAAGAAGGTAAGAAATTTGCTCCAAATCACAAAGCAAGGAAGTAGTGTAGCTGGGCCTTCTTAGAGAGATGCCTCTCTCTCCTCTTCCATATTCTACCCCATTCCACCTTCCAGCTTGGAATGGTCCTGAGTGAGGTGAGGGTGGAGAGTAGAAAATGGGTATGTTAAATCTAAACCTTATCTAAAGTACTGTTTTGCCTGAGTTCAGCTTTGCTCCTATGGAATGTTCACTGAGTAGATGCCTTGGACTTGGCTCTAAACAAAATGCTATGGAATGGGCAAGGTCATATACATGGATCCTCCTACCCTTTGGAGCTGAAATCATGCAGAAGCTCCAAACACATCATCTGAGATGAGCCCAGACATTCTGGAAATTGCTATGAATATTGTCCAGATGTTTGGCTTAATTTATGTTCATGAACAATCTGAAATGAAGATTCCAATTCTCTCTACTGAGAACACCAATTTAGATTAGTGTTAGGGAACAGGGTTGTTTGTAATATCTGCTGGGTAAATTTCCCTCTCCCCTCAAATTGGTTACTCTGTTTATCTTATGTTTCTGAATAAAATCTTCATTCCTTTTCTTTATCAAGGGAATTCTGAAGGAGCAAAAGCAGATCTTGCCTTCCTGAGCCTGGGCCGGGATTTTTATAACTCCTTTCAATTTGACAAATAATCATTGAGTCCTGATATATTCTTGTTCTGTTTCTAATATCTTAGAGTCAGTGAGGTGTATATTTTATAGAAGGGAAATTCTGTGGATAGCATGCTGGAGATCAGTGATTTGACATATGAACCAATTGGATACAGTCTGCAAAGAGAATCTATTTATTTCAAGCTGATACCACCTGAGAATTTGTAGCTAATGGGTTATATGGTGGTTTAAAAATAGGTCCACAAATTCTTCAATATTCCTTCCTTGAAGAGATGGAGACTAATTTCTCTCCCCTTGAATGTAGGCTGGACTTAGTGACTGCTTCTAATTAATAGAAAAAAGCAGAAGTAACCATGTTGGCTTTGGAGATTAGATCATAAAATGTACTGTATCTTCTTCCTTGTTCATTCTCTTGAATCACTCACTTAGGTGGGAGATCCTACCAACAGCCATCTTGGAGGTGGATCCTACATCCCCAGTTGAGCTTTCAGACGACTGTAGCCCCTACCAATACCTTAACTGCAACCACACGAGAGACCCTGAGTCAGAACCACCTGGCTAAACTACTCCAGAATTCCCGAATCACAGAAACTGCGAGATAATAAATGCTTTTTTTAAGCCACTAAGTGTTGGGGATAATTTTTTCTGCAGCAAGATGTAAATAGTACAGATTAAAAATCCCAGAAATATCTAGTGCTATTTCTGAAAAATGATTAGCTAAGCAATTATTGCCAAACTTTATAAATCTTGACAGTGTTTTAAAGTCCATTTTTTGCAAGTCTCTGCTTAGAAACAGTCCAAATAATTTCATTCTCAGTCCATGAGAGTTAAAACCTAGGTCTGTGTAGTTTCAATAATGTGAATTTTCTTAGGTACATTTATGTACTCTTCTGCACACTTGAACGAAATGTTACCAAAGCACATGTATTTTTATTCCTTCAGTAAACATTACCTAAATGCTTACTGGGTCTCTAACACTATGCTGAGTGAAATAGGTGAAATAGCTTTTGTGCATCTATTTATTCACAAACACTACTTTAGCATCTAGGGGCCAGGCACTGTGCTCAGCACTGAGGATACAAAAATAAACTGGGGAGTTCAGTACTCAGTTGGGGAAGTAGACAGGCAAACACATATTTTACTACACAGTGTGGTGAATATTAACCCAGAGAAATGAGTGACATGCTATGGTATTGCAGAGAATGGAACAACTATCTATATGACATCTTTAGAATGAATAGAAGTTTTCAAGCAACAAAAAGTGGTGGGTTAGAGGGAAAGCATTCCAAGTGTGGGGGAACAGGGTGTGCAAAGACATGGAAAGATGAAAAGCCTAGGCTGCCTTTTTGTACTTTAGTTTCTTCTGCCTGAGAATAAAGAGATGGTCAGTAATATGCATGTCTCTGGCAATAAGAGGTAGGCAGGACAGGCTGTTTTTCTAGGCACAGGCATTTCAAAGACAACAGGCTACTCGAGCTGCCCCAAATTGAAGGGCCCTTGTACTTCCCCAAGGTTCTCAGGCTAGAAGAATTCTTGTGATGAACCCTGAGCCTTGGGCAGACAGATGTGTAAGTCTTTTGGGACATATAATTTCCTTGGTGTGAAGAACTCAAATTTTCTATGCATGAGTCTACTAAGCTTCTGAACTTGGACTTCTGTGGCCTTTTATTTTTAACATTTGCTATAAAAGAATGGGAGTCATTGCCTTTTAGATCAGTACCACTCAATCTATGGGTCCAAGACAAGACAGTTTGTGCCAGAATGTAAATCCACACACCACTGCCTTCATCAATAAAATTGTGCTCTGAAAAAAATGTCAGCTAACTAAATGGTTTGCTTAGTGGCATAGTTGATTTCCATTTGGCACATGCTCCTAATCTCATCACAGACTGATTGATAACAAATAGTTTGCAGGTTGGCAGTGATCCATAGACCACATTTTTCAGATAACTCACTATCCACTAAATAAAATCTTATATGACAAATCTCTTTGTTTCCTTTCAGAACCTGGTCTATGCTTTCTTTTCCCATTGTGAGGATGATACAATTTATCTTGTCTCCTTCTTTTTATTATTATATGTGTTTATGGTGTACTTGTCTCCCTTTTTGGTTTAGCTTCTAATTAGTTCAGAGTCAAATTTGAAGTTCAAGTGTGTCAACTATGTTGACACCTTGGGTGCCATTTTTTACATTCTTGTCCTTGATTTTGGTTTTCAATTCCAAATTTATGTTTGACTTGATTATTTCATTGAATATGTTGTGGCCAAATGACATCAGAGACAATGACAATGATGACAACCATGACAATAAGCATGACGATAAGCATGGCAAATAGGCCAGATTTCTGGTCTGCATCCATTTGAGTAGAATAAGAGATGTGGCTGTGCCTCCATGACTCCAATCAAGTTTGGCTGTTTTAGTCTCTGAATTGATAGAACTGGTTTTCATGGAGACACAGTGGTATTCATGAGGAACTCATTCCTCTGCATGCAGAGGGCATCAGCCTTTCTAAATGAAATTGACATGCACAGTTAGGAGAAGAGCACTCACCGTCTTGGTCGTTACCTGAGTCTGCTGGAGACTTGCTTCGGCGCATAGGGCCAGGACTCTTGGCTGAACTCTTCTGAGGCGTTGGGGACGCCTTTGGGCCAGCTGTGGCTGATGGGTTTCCCTTCATAACTCGGCATTCTGGGGCAAAAGGACACAGACAGTTTAGTAGAGGGTAGAACTGAGGCTCAGCATGCTAGCAGCCTCTGGAAATTGGAATAACCACCATAAGCCGAAGCACCTAAGTGGCTCAGGTCTACAGGTAGTTCCCATTGTTTGTAGGAACTGTGGCCCTGGGGAGGGAGGCATGGGAAAACTTTCAAAAATCACCTGGGCTAAGCGAGGTGTTTAAGTTTCTGGATTATGGAAATAAGGGCACGAGTTCAAAAGCAGATCAAGCAGGTAATTAAAAGTGAACTCAATCATTTGTGGATGATCTAGCCATGTCTCAAATAGTACCTACTGATGTAATGTTTAATAACGTTTCATTAATTTCCTTGGAGTAGAGATTGACAGCTCAAAGGTTGCAATGACACAGACGAAACATCCATGAGTAATTTAAAGGAGGGGTAGGGAGCTACCATTCATTGTCTATTACATGCCACACATTGTAACAGGCTCATTATGGATGTCATGTCATTTTATATAAATAAGCAGTACCACCACCACCATCTTGCATTAATAGAGTTCTTTTCTATTTTCAGTGCACGTTATCACAATCCCTTATGCTGGTTTTGTGAATAAATCGGCCAGCCGTGACTCTGCCACTTAGAACTTAAGAAAGCAAGTGGCTGTGCAAGACAGTCTGTCAAATGTTCCTGCATTTGTCTCAGCCCCAATGTGACACATTTGGAGCATCCTTTCTATGTAGGTCACTCAGCATCCCCTACTATGGTAACTTTGGGCCCTGAAAGTGCTAGTTTATTAGAAGGATTATCATACTCATTCTCCTGATGAGAGTATAAAAAGCTTAAGCCTCTTGCTTAGAGCAACAAAGCAAGAAAGTAGCAGAACAAGGAGTAGAAGCCAAGTCTCCTGAGTTTCTGTCTAACACTCTGTCCACTACAGTTTTCCCAGCCTTGTGCTGTAATGTGCACGGTGGAATCAAACAGCTCTATAGAGAGCAGTCTTTTCTTAAGACATCTCCTTGTCACCTCCTGCTTAAAGGCACATTGAAATATAAATTAACCAGAAAGATTAGGGGAGTCATTCTGGTAAACTGAGTTTTTTAAGAAACTGAGTTAAGTGGAAGGCTGATTTTTGTTTGTTTCACTTCTTGTTTTGATTGATGAACCTCAGCGATCACCGTCCAGAGCTGGCAATGTAGATTGTATAGCAAATCAAATATAGCCTGAGATTTGTTTAGCTATTTTATGGTTATTTGCCTCTTCTCAAAGGGAAGACAGCAGAAATACCACCTCTCTAAGGGTCTTTATCACTCGAGTCTATATTAGTAAAACTCCCTTTGTTTTTCTCACACTTTACTCCTCCTAAGTGGGAAATACGTTTTGAGTGTGTCTTTCCATCAGGATCACATCCTAACCCTGTTACTGTGTGAGCTAACTCACTTTTAACTTACACCTAGAGCTTGGACTTAAACAAAGAGAGACTGCAAGATTTCCAGATCCTTCCTGAAATTAACAACTCCCTGGAATCCTCAGTCACAAAGCAGGGGAAAGGGACCACAAGCCTGAAGGTGGGAAAGGGATTTGACACTAAGAATACAGTGGGAAAATCCTTCTAAAATAAAACTGTCAACATGGATCAAATAGCTGGAGGATGTTGACTAGAAAAAAATTATATGTACAATATCCAAGTTCTGACTCCAAATGTTCCTTTCTGTGGTCTGATTGTGCCTGCCAGCCCATGTGACACAATACACGGTTTAAGAAATATGGTCACTATTGGGGAAGATAGTGAGTTTTATTGAGTTTAGGGGCTAGGCCTCTGGGACATCCAGTTAACATTTCACTTGGCGACCCATGTATCCAGATATGCAGGAGAAAGGCTAACAATATCTGCCCTTGATGGACTGTAGTGAATTGAATTATGTCCCCCCAAAACTCCCTGAAGTTTGGATTGTGTCCCTCAAGTTTTATGTTTTAGAAACTTTACTTGTGTCCCCCAAGTTTTATGTATTAGGAACTTTTATGTATTAGAAACTGTGACTGTTAAGAGGGTGGGAAATCCTATTATGGTAATTGAAAGGTGATTGGATTTTAGGACCATGCAGTAGTGAATGGATTAAAACTACTCAGTTTTTAAGTCAGGGGTGTGGTTCTGAGGGCTTTAAAAGGAGAGGAGAGTCTGACTTTTGCTCTCTCTGCTCTCTCTGCTTCCACCATCTTGCAATGTGAGACCCCTGGGTCACTGTCACCACCACCAGATGGACTTTGGACTTCCCAGCCTCAGAAACTGTAAGCAATAAATGTTGTTTTTCTCTATAAATGACCCAGTTCCAAGTATTTTGTTATAAGCAACAAAAATAGACTAACACAGGGACCATGCATGGATGTCTTCCAGGCCATATAAACTCACGGAAATCCTAAGGGATAGAAGTGGGAGAACAATGGAACAATAAAACCCAGTGTTTGTGCTTACCATTTTCATCCAAAGAAAAGTCATCCTGAGCATAGCGAAATTTTTCAGGACCACAGGCAATAAACACATCATCATCACCAAAGAAGTCATGGAGACAGGTTACCTATGGAGAAATCAGAAACGTTGGATTGGTATTCAATGGTCTTGTTACAATGAGACTCACACCATGTTGGCAGGGGAAAAGCTTCACATCTAGGCCATCATCTCCAGCTCTCAGGGTTCTCCTTTTTCTCAAAACATTTACCATTCTCATTGTCTGCACCGTGACTGCTAGTGAGTTATGATACACTGAGTGCCATTGTCTTTCCATGTTTCCTCTGTGGTAGTCTCATTTCTACTGCATCAAGAGTAAGATGGAGACCGTGTCCAAATGGACTGTCCCCCTCTGAAGAAAAGTCAGTCAAAAGATGGTCCTACAAATGTTAGATTTTCTCAGAGCCTCAAAGACAGAGTGCTGCTGGCCCAAATCTGGGGCCCAGGGGTCTAGGCCAAGGCAGATGAGAAAGACCTTCTGTATCCTGCAGTGGATAGACCCTGTAGCTGACCCAGAGATGAAAATTCCTCTTTTTGTCTGCATGAGTTCTAAAAAAGGACATAATTTCTTAACTGCTTTGAACACACAAAAATTGGATTTTTGCTAAAAACGGGCCAAGAACCTCATAATGGTCCAGAATACCATCCCTCTCTGAGGAACCAGGAGGGGAAACTGCACTGACCACTTAAAACTTCATCAAGAGCAATGGGTACCAATAGGCTTGAGTCTCTGGTGGTAAAGCCATGTTCCCAGGACCCTTCTTGCCCTCTAGTGCCCTATGCATTGCTATTTCTCCACAATAGACAGTCTCCCTAACCCTCTTTCTGCACAAAGAAATCAGGGTCTCTGGGAAAGTATACTGCTCTCTGTAGTCTCCCCACTTCTCAGCTTTCCTAATTACATCTGATAATTAGTCCAGCACATCAGAGAAATCCCAGGAGAAACGATTGAGTCAAAACATGGTTATCCTACTTGTTAGCTTGAAAGTGTTCGAAGCCTTTAATTGTTCTAAGCTTCCCATTCAAGCTGCCAGCAATTGCTTTCCAAAGGCACAGTGCTCACGAACTAACAACAGCTTGCTGGGTGCAAAGAGCAATATGTTACATTCGAAAATGTTTATATTAATAACATCATCTCCCACCCAAGGTCTAGTCAATCCCTGCTCCCCCAGCCGAGATGCTTAAAGATTATCCCCATTGTCTCAGTCTTCCAATCATCCAAGAGATGCCAAGAGAAGGGAGAGAGACTTGGAGGACTGCCAGGGTCACCCCTATTAAGTTTCTTCCCAATCCTGGGTCCTGGCCTCATTAAATAGGCCAACACCCTTCTTTAGCCCACTTGTCCTTCACCCATTCATTCCACAACAATGTAATGACAATAAGAGCTACCACTGATTGAATGCTTACTTTGTGACAAAACTCTGCTAAGTACTTCCAAATCTGTCATCTCATTTTTACCCTCACAACAAACCCTGGAAGTTGGTATTACTGTCATCAATATTTTAGAGATGAGAAAACTGAAAGCCAGAGACAATAAGTAAGCTATCTGTGTGGAAAGCAATGAAGCCCAAACATAAATTTGTCTGATGTGAAAGTCTGTGCTTTTAACCATTCAGCAATACAGAGCACTTCTGTATAGTTCGGGCACTAGGGAGACAAAGATGAATAAAACTCAGGCCATGACATGGAGCTCACAGTCTGACAGAGTGAGTGAGATACAGTGAAACAGAATATTCAGTGTAGTGTCATGAGTGCTAGGATAGGAGTATCTGTAGGTGCCATGGAAGTTATTGATTACCACATCCAAGTGACCCCACTCACTAGCTGTCACTGTTGGTTCAATAGACATCCTGCATTTTGTCGTGGTAATGGATCCAATGACACAGGCTACATGGCTTTGAGCCCTGCTGCAGACTTCCCACCATTATCTTGGACTTTGGCTCAATAAAATCTGGAACCCCTAATTTTGATAACACCAAGTGTCTCTAAATTGTTTACCCCCTGCTACCTTCTTGACCCTGAAGGTTTCTGCCATGTCTTCTTGTTCAAGGCTGCCCTTGACCCTGATTAGCTGTCTTTATTTTGGTTATGAGTGAGGGAAGCCTTACCTTTGGGTATCCCTCTGGTGGCGGTCTCTAGGATTTAGCGCTTTGTTTCCAGATCTGCCTGTATTTTCGTGGAGACTCACGTAGTCCTCCCTACTGGATCAGGTTTCTGAATGTAATGACCAAGTTTATCCCTCCCTCTATCTCTTTCCATCATTCCCTGTAGAAAGCTTATCATATAATGAGAATTTAGGCAGGGCTGTTTCTGCCTCAAGTGCATGCAAAGAAGAAGGAGGAACATTCAGAGGCTTTGTAAAGATATACAAAGACAGAAAAATAAGGAATAAGAAAAAAAAATCAATCATGGCAGACAACAGAGATTAGCATTCAGAAGCTTTGTAAGGTAACAAAAATACACAAATTTAGGAACAAGAAAAAATAAATGATTGTGAATTTAGAAATTATTCTTCACATAGCTATGCTAATTAATTTGGAAACAGATAAAATGGATAATTTTTAAAGTCTAAATAATCAAATTAGCTCAGAAAGAAAAAGAAAATCTAAGCCAACTAATAGCCACAAAAAGAATTTAGTAAATACTTCAAACAGCAACCCTCTCTCAAAAGGACCAGAACAGTCATTTTTTTTTTTTTGAAGGTATTTATGGAAATTGCTTCTGAAGAAGAAAATCCAAGAACTTGAAGCCGCCATCTCAGTCACATGTCATGATATTCTATCATAGGACAACAAAGCCTTACAGATTACTCTGGGGGTTGCTGTTACAATGACCCACCCTCCTCCAGCCCCAAGCTTCTCTACCCCCACCCAGGCTTTGCAAAAAGCTTTTGGATAACCCCTCCTTTGGGGAGCTTCTAAGAAAGCCAAGGTCCTCTACACTTCTGACAAACTCTCAATGGGATAGCTGGCTTCAAACATACTCATACCACAATCCAGCTGTTCAGCATCAGGTTTCTCGTGTGATCCTGCCCCACATTGTACTGGCTCCCAATGTAGACAAATTCACATTGTGCATGTGGATACACAGCTTTCCCCAATGCCTTGGATATTGAGGCACAGCAGCACCCCCCCATCTTTGTTAGGGGGTTGGGAAAATAGAATGCTCTCCATGTTCAGTATGAGGATCCAAGGCACAGAGAGTCAAAGTGGCCCAAGTATATACAGCTGGCTCATGGCAGAGTTGGGACTAGCACTCAGGTGTCTTGCTTCACCTCAGGACAAAACAATTCAATTGCCTGAGAGAACATGTCTTCCTAAAGCCTTGACTTCAAAGGCTTATCTACAGCCTAGACAGGTGAGTCCCCATCTATCCTAATCAGCACTTGATATGCATTAGAAAATTTTATTGGATTGCAAAAAGGTTCTTTATGGATCATATTTTTAATCAATGGACAAGAAAACTCCTATTCATTACTGTAACTGGCAACTGAGTATGTGGTGGAGAAGGAGGAGGAAGAAAAGAAAGAAAAAGGAATAAGATAAAGAAGGATGAGAAGAAGAACCGAGTGTAAGGAATAATTCTCAAATGAAACTCACACTCACTTAACACCTGCTTTTTAAAATTCCACGAGGTAATGTGACACAAAGTCCACCTTAGCTTACATTGCAAATGTATGATTTTCCAGATTAGTTTTTTGAGATAAAAGTTTCATCATGAGGTAGCAACAGAAGTAGTAAATATAATATTCTGATGAGACCACTTACAGCATCCTCAGAGATCAAAGTTCTTGCTGACGTCAATTTCAGTATGAGTCATACTTGGGTATTTAAGTCAGAGAAGAGAACAGGAAGGCATGACGGCTATCTTTGTAATTAATCAACTGCCTGCACAATCAATAAAATCTACTCACATTAACATGAAACCATTAACTCAATGCTCTTCCTTTTTCAGAAAACAGGTGCTGGGTGAAGGGAGGCCAGCTTGGTTGTGCATTACCGTGAACAATAGATTATACGGATGGTCCGGTGGCTTAAATGTCAGAGTACAAATGGGGAAATGGAGACAACAGATCACTGCGTGGAAGCAGTTTATCTATCAACTGCAGATGGAAAATTTACTGTGATTTGATTTAAGTTTGATTAGCATCTCCATTCACATATTACAGGTGCTGGCAGTTAGTTCTTGTTACGTGCCTGCTGCTAGCAGATTCCACATTTTACTTACCTAATTAAAAACAAAATGTTATCTTGGAAAGTAAGGTCGTGCTCGTATATCTATGAAACTCACTTTCTACATGCAAAACATTTTCACTGAAAGTTCAATTCCACTAATCTTGATACATTAAACACTTACTAGTGCAGAGGAACTGTGAGAGATACAGAAACACACAATAAAGGGCCCTTCCTTGTCTTCAATGAGTTGACAACATAATAAGTAAGGCAGAACTACACAAATAATTGGAATACAAGGTAGGCTTTTGTCAGCACTGTTATGGAGGCACAAAGGGCAAGGGATGCACAGAAGACAAAGAGAACAATTCTAATCATGAGAACTGGGGAAGGCTTCGCAGAGATGACACGAAAACTGAGTCTTGAAGGATGGGTGGGATACAGGTTGATGGAGACAGGAGGTATTGTAGGCAGAGGTAACTGTATGAACCAAGGCTGAAAGGCAGGAATGTGCCTTTTTCTTAACAGCCCTGGAAAAGAAGAGCTTCATCTTGTCAACTCTAGTGACAGAGATTCTGACCCTCCAAAGCTGTGCACAGTACAATTGCCCAGACCTATCTGCCAACCTTCTGCATAGATAAAACATACAATTGCCTACTGGTGAAATTCAGGGTGAAAAGGAGAACAGAGAGTGTCTATGGGAAAGGGCTGGCCCAGTAGTGAAGATGAGGGAACCCCTGTGGCAATGAAGACAAACCACACGGATTTTCCAACAGTGTGCCCTGCCCATACAGAGAGACAGGCAAGCTTTCCAAAATAAGTTAATGACAGATTCAGTAAACACTACAGATGAAGGCTTTTCTAGAAGTTACTGCTACTCTCATTCTGGAACATTTCC